AGTGGATTCGGCGCTGCAGGTGTTGGGCAGGTATTGTGGAAGGGAAAGGTTCGAATTCGGCCTGGATTCGATTGAATGTGTAGTGGATTCGGCGCTGCAGGTGTTGGGCAGGTATTGTGGAAGGGAAGTGATTGAATCCGGCGTGGATTCGAGTGAAATTGTCGTGGATTCGGCGCTGGAGGTGGTGGGCAGGTAGTGTGGAAGGGAAATGTTTGAATTCGGCGTGGGCAGGCAGTGGAAGGGAATGTTTGAATTCGGCGTGGATTCGAGTGAAATTGTCGTGGATTCGGCGCTGGAGGTGGTGGGCAGGCAGTGGAAGGGAAATGTTTGAATTGGGTTTGCCGAAGTTGACCACGTCAGCAGCAGGTGGCAGGTGGCGTCAGTCATCAGTCGTCAGGCGTCACATGAGAGCGTCATTGAAAACCTATCAAAGCCTTTCTGGACCAAACTACGAGAACAATGCAAGCGTCAAACATCAGGCCTCACCAACCAGCAGCAGCGAATGCATTATGAGTAGGTTAGTGTATGTACTACTGAGCTTACACGTCAGGCTTCAATGACAGTGATGCAAATGCAAGCGTCAAACATCAGGCCTCACCAACCAGCAGCAGCGAATGCATTATGAGTAGATTAGTATATTTTGCTACTGAGCTTACACGTCAGGCGTCAATGACAGTGATACAAATGCATGCGTCAAACATCAGGCCTCACCAATCAGCAGCAGCGAATGCATTATGAGTAGACTAGTAGTATATATATATATATTACTGAGCTTACACGTCAGGCGGCAATGACAGTGATACAAATGCAAGCGTCAAACATCAGGCCGCACCAACGAGAGCAGCGAATGCATTATGAGTAGGTTAGTGTATGTACTACTGAGCTTACACGTCAGGCTTCAATGACAGTGATGCAAATGCAAGCGTCAAACATCAGGCCTCACCAACCAGCAGCAGCGAATGCATTATGAGTAGATTAGTATAGTATATATATGGTGGTTGATCAAAATTCCTTCTTGCTGGCAGGCCATTCTTCGCGAAAAAAAATTACTTTCGCGAATCTTTCGCGAACTCCATGTTTAACTTTCGCGGGGGTATACCCTCTAGAAATCATAGTGGTTCTACATAGCAGCCTAAGCACTTCCATCAAGCACCATTTTGGATCTGCAGACGAGGTTGCGGCACAAGGCAGATTGGCGAGAACTCTCAATCACCACCATTGGATGAATCAGCAGAACTGGTGGAGGACGAGCCGGAAGAGCTATCAACGGTTGTTGCGCTCATGTCTTGCTAGGTCTGTCGCTGCTTGGCTTGGGCAGGGGTCCACAAAACAAACCTTCACATTCGCCTATGCTTTCGCGGAACTTTCGCGAATCTTTCGCCAAAAATTGTCGCGTCGTTGGTGGGTTTCTAGGCGCACAGCGTAACAACCAGTGGCAGCAGCACGAGGAGTAGTAAGAAGTGGTAGTCGTAGTGGTAGTGGCAGTAGCAGGAACAGCAGCAGCAGCAGCAGCTGCAGCAGCAGGAGGAGGAGGAGGGCATGGCAAGCCTAAAAACTGCATGTATACCATATAGTATAATAGACTCTTTCGCAGATCTTTCGCCAAAAAAAATTACTTTCGCGAACTCGAGAAAAAACTTTCGCGGACAACTTGAAGAGGCTCTCGGTGGCATAGGCCTTATGCCGACCTTTCGATCGACTACCATATATATATATATATTACTGAGCTTACACGTCAGGCGGCAATGACAGTGATACAAATGCAAGCGTCAAACATCAGGCCTCACCAACCAGCAGCAGCGAATGCATTATGAGTAGATTAGTAGTGTATATTTCTGAGCCTACACGTCAGGCGGCAATGACAGTGATGCAAAATCCGATACAACAATAAGAATTGACCAGCTATAGGGGCTCAATCCTGGCAGCCACTAGAACCAAAACAAGCGAAAAACCGCCAACTCCAAACCACCAACCCAATCCACCAATTTTCATCAGTATGAGACTGCTATAATTTTGAAAAATGAATGAGGCAAGTATGCTTTGACTGCTATGATTTTGAAAAGTTGAATGAGGTAATTGTGTTTTGACTGCTATGATTTTGAACAAAGAATGAGGTAAGTATGCTTCGACTGCTATGATATTGAAAAACTGAATGAGGTAATTATGTTTTGATATTGTTAAGAAAAATGAAGCAATCAAGAATATTTAAACTGACTTATTTGGACTGTTAGGTTGTTTTTGAATAAATTTTGATTTGTTATACTGCTATGATATTAGTTTAGAAAACGTCACTCAATCAACTTTTCTTTACATTTTTTCCCCCAACCCACCCAAAGCTTCTAGTCAGAGGTCGTGACCGCACAAAACGCGAATACGAAGCTTCTAGCTAAAATGCCAGGCCCCCCCCATGGCACCAACAGCAACGCCCCGATTGGCTCCAAGCGCTCGCCCACGAGCCTCCAAATCGCCCTCTAAGCGCCCACGTGACCCACGCGCAGTATGGTTTGAGCTGAAGAGCAACTTTCGCATCAAGATGGCGCTGACAATTGTAGACCATGAACGGCGATGAAAATTAATGCCACCGACAATATTGTGAAATAGATGACAATGTTGTGAAGTCAATGACAATGTTGTTATATAAATCGATGACCATTTTGCGGAGCCAATGATAATGTTATGAACCCGAGGACATTGATATGAAAAGGATGACAATGTTTTATAAACAGAAGCCGCTGGTGCTACATCAGCATCAGTCATGACCAAGGACCAAGTGGGAATCCACTTGAGGCTGCTAGGCAGGGCCGATACCAGCAACAGGTTGATACACCAAACCCACAAACATCTCATCCACAATCCAAAACATTGTTTTGGCAAGTTTGCCTACATAATCATTGGCATCGTCGCATATGTCTGTGTGAAAGCAAGCTCGAAGTACCTTGTTCAGGGGAATTGTCACCGACACTTCAAACATTTTGCCAATCTCCTTCTGCACCACAGTCAGTCTCTTGAAAACCTGAGCCACCGTTCAAAACAAAAATAGCTGAACATAAAACATTGCCAAATTGATTTGATCCTACGAAAATCCAGCCTGCTTTGAATCCAAGCCCAGCAGTGTTTGGACCGTCAGATTCCTGGAAAAGGTCTTCGCACTGAAGAAGTGGCCGCCGTCAAATGAATGTACAGTATATTCCATTACTGTCTATAGCATACGGGACATATTATATAGTCTACTATCCGTGTCCTGATATCTGGACTCAAAGATCCAAAGTAGTGCTGGTCTTGACCCAAAAAACTCTCCTGGCCGTAGCAAGGCTTTGCGACTCGTCATATGTAGTGCCTTTCAAACAGCTTGTCTTCTCAGGCTTTGGCAAGATCAGACCCATCTTCGTCATCATTCTCCTCATTCATCCAAGGATATTATTACGCTACCAAAGGATGTTGCTGAAGGATTTGAAATAAAAACAGTGTCATAATGTCAATGTTCGGCAATGATATATGTATAATATATATATATGTAAATGACGAACACACAAAGTGAATCACGTTGAG